TGTTGAAACTGTACTTTCGATTTGATTTGAAACTGTCTCATTGCTATATGTTTATCAATAAAACTTTGAAAAGAAAAAAAAAACAAAAACAAAAAACCTGTTACCAGGGCTGCTTATGATGGCATTGCTGTGTAAGGAAAATGTATTGCAGTAAAAGACATTGCCACTCACCCCCCTCATAACACACCCCTTGCTTCAAGTACACTCATTTTTGCCACTTTTTTGAAACTGTTCTGGAAGGACTCTTGGCAGCTCCTGCTGAGTGCCATCCAACAAGAAGGCAGGCTTGTAGGAGCCCTGGCACTCTGTCCTCATCTGCCTTGCTCACCAGGTCGAGCACTGTGCAACTTCAGGTCTTCCACAAAGTCAAAATGACCGTGAAAGGGAAACGTTTTATTTACATTGAGGCAGCTATAGCAGTTCAGGTAGACACAAAGGACTTCCAGAACTGCTTCAGAAAATAGCAAGGATGGGTTAAGTGTTCAAAGTAAGGGGGACTATTTTGAGGGGAATTGGTGGCAGTGTGTTTTTACCATCATTCTTCTAAAGTGTAAGCATTCACTATTTTGGTCAGCCCTTGTACATCCTAATGTAGAAGTATAATAATTTCATGCCTGGGATTCTTGTTAGTGTACCACAAGAAGGGAAGGTGTCTTTCAGTTGCTAAAACAAAATACTTGACACCCACACCTATTTTGGCTCACGGTTTCAGACTGTGGTCAACCACCTTAAAGCACAAAATGTGTGGCAGATTACAAGGTGCTTGACTCAGGAAGCAGAGAGGAGAGAGGAACTGGGACAGTAATACACCCCATGAGCCAGCTCCACACAGGCTGCACCCCTAGCAGCACAGCAGCCGCGGAGCTCATCACTGAATAGATTCACAGTCTAATCACCTTCCACACACAGGAACCCTGGGGGGCATGTTAGATCTAAATTGTAGCAAAAGTAAGAAGGAAATAAAGGAGAGATGGGTGAATTGCGTGTGTCAAAAATATTGGAAATGTTTGAATCTGAGTGATAGTTTATTCTCTACTGTTGTATAGATTTCAAAATTTTTATATTTTTACTTTCTATAAAAATATATTTCATATGTATAAGTAGGGAACTTGTGTGGATTGATCATCTTTGGGTGGTCTAATCTGACTGGATTTCCTTTCCTTTAATATTTTTTAATATAGTGTCAATTTTGAAAATAAGCATGTACTGGGTTTTTTTTGTTTTGTTTTGTTTTTTTGCGGGACTGGGGATTGAACTGAGGATCCTGCGCTTGCCAGGCAAGCACTTATTCTACTGAGCTATCTCCCTGGCCCCAGCATGTACCTATTAACACATAAAAATGTTTTATAGGAATATAAGACTAACTTACACTCAGTCTTCAGGGTTTCTTACAAGGTGTGTTTTTTTTTGATCCACACCCTCCCTCCAGGATCATTGCCTACCTAGCAGTTTAGGTAGCCAGTGTTGCTTTTCCAAGGTAGCAGCTGCACTTTCATATTATTTCATATTATTCTTCTCTGTTCTGCCTGTGCAGAACAGAGAAGAGCTTAATGTCTTAGATGAATTCAGATAGGAAGTAAATATTACTGGTGAGAAATGACAGTGGGTAATAGTAACAGCAAACAGTTATGCTTCGTTTGCTATATGCCAGGTGTGTGTGTGTGTGTGTGTGTGTGTGTGTGTATAATTTAATCTGCACAACAATTGTATGAAGTAGATTCATTGACTATCCCCATTTCTTTGAAGAAACAGAGGCACAGAGAAGTTAGTGACCTGAGGTCAACAACATGTGCATCAAGGCGCAATTATCACTTGTACTCCCAGTTTTGACACTGCATTGTTCTCTTCTAGACGGTGCTGCCAGGGGCGAAAAGAAGAAAACACTGGTGCAAAAGCTCCAGATGGAGGGGCCAGGGAGATGGCTCAGTGGAATAAGTGCTTCCCTGGCAAGCGCAAGGGCCTGAGTTCAATCCCTGGTTCTGCCAAAAAAAAAGCTCCAGATGGGGCCGGCCTGATAGCTCAGCAGACTACCCAGCATGCTGTGCTGGCCCTGCCCCCCGGGCACGCTGAGAAGGCGACTGAGACCGAGCATGGTGGCGCACGTCTGTAATCCCATTACTTGGGAAGCTGAAAACAGGAGAATAACTACGAGTCTGATCTATGTAGTGAGACCCTGTTACTCTGCCCTCAATACAGGAAAAAGAAAAAAAGCTCCAGATGAAGCAATAGAAGTCTTACTGTATGTAATCTGTTTTAGGTGAAGATTCTGAAAATGATACCGATTGTAGTGAGAGTGAAGATAATGAGGAAGAATTTACTATGAGAAAAAGTAAAGTAAAAGAAAATAAAAAGAAAGAAGTGAAGGTAAAATCCCCAGTAGAAAAGAAAGAGAAGAAATCTAATTCCAAATGTAAGCTTTGGGTAAGCTTGGTGCAAGACATTTAATTTTATAAAAGAAATGTATTTGATTTGTTTGCTGTATTTTTCTTTAATATTTTGCAATTGTGTGTTTCTGGCTAAAGTACAGAAGGAATCAAAATAGGGCTGGGGCCCTAAAGTGCACTAGCAGTGTAGTACCTGGTGTGTCCGATGGCCTTTAGAGCTCATGTTCTGCTGCCCATGAGAGCTCAGCCGCCTGCATGCAGATGGGGAGAGAGCGGAGGCTCCGAGAGGTTATGTGTTTGCTGGAAATCTTGCCGCTTTTTAGACACCAGGGTTGTGTAGTCAGTTCAGGCCCCACATGTTCTCTGGACAAATGAACAAGGACATGTGGTGCTTATAAATTTTAACTTTCATGCTTGACCAAGTCTTTATTTCAGAGTTTCTTTGCCCTGTGCTTGGGATACTGTCTCCTGTGTAGGTTTCCCCCCCCAAAATAAATCCCATTAGAAGCCATTTTTATAGTGTAACTTTTGGAATTTATGAAAACTTTATGATGAAGTACCTGTTTGTTATTAAAGAAGTTATGATACTTTTGAATTCATAATGTATGATAGATTATTGGGGGTTTTAGTTTCATTTCTTTAATGGTACAAATTTTTCTGCCTTAGTTTTTTAATACATACTTATTTGAAACCAAAATTTTCTTGGGTTTTTTTTTTTTTTCCTTTGCGGTGTCAGGGATTGAACTCAGGACCCTGCACTTGCCAGGCAAGCGCTTATTCTACTGAGCTATCTCCCGAGCCCCTGAAACCAAAATTTTCTTGATTTAGACCTTGTTTTATTAAGAGTTCCTAAAAAAACAAAGTCCCTCTCACCTTTAGTAACATGGTGGTGAATATGAAGAAGCAAAATTGAGATACTAGTTGAGATATATTTTCCCCCATGCTCTATTTTTAATGTGGTTTTATTGAGAATTTTTTTAAAACTATTGACATTTAAGTGCTTTGCACAAATTAGATTTGAAATGTAGGAACTTTTACAAATGAAATACGTATTTTCTTATTGCTGTTATAATAAATCACCTCCAACTTAGTGGCCTTAAACAACATGTATTTATATTTCATAGTTCCAAAGGCTAATTGTGCAAAAAAACGGCCAGAACCCAGGGCTGTATCCTGTGCCTGCTGCCTGGGAGAGAATCGGCTTCTGGTCTTCCCAGCCTCTAGAGGGCGCCTGCGTGCTGTGGCTTATGGCCCCGTTCCAGCTGGCTTTTTCATGTTGTCACTGACTCTGTTTCTCACTTTTAGTTATTAATGAAGACTGGGGATCACACTGCACCAATCTAGATAGTTCAAGAGAATCTCCTCAGAGCCTTAGCTTACATCTGTAGAATCCTTTGGATGTAGGAAACATACTCACATGTTCTAGAGGTTAGGACACAGATGCATCTTTGGGGAGCCATTATTTTGCTACTACAAGATACAATGTGAAAAAGTCATTAACAGTATAAATATATTTTGTATTTTCTTTAGATATTTGTACTTCTTCACTAGATACACTCAAATGTTGTTTCCAAGTTGAAATTTACCATCAAATCCTTTTCTGTATACTTTGGAGCAAATTGCTTCATAAGGGATATTAATATATAATATTGAAAGTAAAGTTTGTTAAGTAATAGGATTAGCAATGGGGAAAATTTATTATTTTTTAGTCTTACAAATGATATATTGACTAGCCTTTGAGAGTCTTTTATCCAGCACACATTATTCTCCCTTGATAAGAGAAATTTTCAAAGCAGACCTGCAAATATGGTAGCCAGTAACCACCTGCATATATTACATTTAAAAAATAAGCAAAATTTGAAAATCAGCTTCTCAGTTTTTCTAGCTAAATTTTAAATACAAAGGAACTATATGTGGCTACTATGTTGGACAACATAAAATATAGAAAATGTCTGGCATCACAGAGTTCTATTGGACAGAACCTGTCTAGCTGGATACAGATGTAGCATTAGGAAGAGTATCCACTGAGGGGTCAGGGATGTAGCTCAGCACTGCAGCGTCTGCTTGGCAAGTGTGAGGCCCTGAGTTTGATTCCTGGTACCAAAAAAGAAAATAGGAAAAAAATTTTTCAACAGTGAAATTATTCCCTTTCATGTTCACTTAAAAAGCAAATCCTATCTGAAAGTGAGGTTTTCTTTTTTTGTTTGTTTTTTAAAAGTGAATTTGTATTCCCCATCTAATCCACCCTCACCCCTTCCCAGACTCCTTTGCGTGACCTACAGAGTTCTTTGTAAGTCACTGTGCCCTGACTGTATTTCTCACCTCCAATCCTCAAGATTTCTGCCCCAGTACTGGCCCTAGAACTTCTCAGTGTCTGTTCCTCCTCCCTAGAAAACGTCCCTCAACTCTTGAGTCTTGGTTTGACTCAGCTATTTCACCTACTTCCTGGTGATTTGGAAATGCATGCACTGGATTAGAAGTTCCCTTTATCTCTAGAGTGTGACAAGCCCCTTAGCAAGCTGCATTAGACAAAACTTTTTTCTCCTGTCTTTCCCTCTGGAGACCAGTGACAGGAGCATGAATTTCTTGAGGGCAGGACCCATGCACTGTATATTTTCTTTCTAACTGTAGAGCCTTCTATGCACTTGACAGGACTATGAAGTGGTCAGAAGTACAGACTTCAGGGTCAAACCTGGTTTCTCTGTGTTTCCCTGTCTGATAGTGGGCATAGCAAAGTCTGCCTCGAAGTTGTAAAGGGTGAGATGACATTGCCTGGCATATGAATGCTCATGGAAGGTGGCTGCCCTTAGGCTTTTGATAAATGTTTGTTATCTAAAAAGAGTTTACCAAGTTTGTGATACTGCCTTCTTAATTTTTCATAAGATTATGAAACTTTATGATTTTTACACATACATGCTGCACTTGAACTTTATCTTCCTATATAACAGACTTCTTTGTGTATATTTTTCAAATAAGTGACTGCAATAGACTCTTCTCCAGCTACAATCAAATCAGAATCTCAGTCTTCACCAAGGGAGATTTCTTGTTCAAAGGCTGCTAGGAAAGCCATACAGATACAGAGTCCTTCAGCTGAAAGCAGGAGGCCAAAGTGGGTCCCACCAGGTACAGTATGTTTATGGTCTTAGGCAGAGGCCTAGCAACTGCATACTGGTGAAGTTTCTCCTAGTTACTAAATATTACTTATGAACATTTTCCCATATTACTGCACATTCTTCAAAAACCAGCGCTTTGAGTAGCTATTTATTATTTAACCATTGCTATTATTAGGCAATAAGGTTGTATATAATTTATTCAATATAATAAAAACAAACATCCTTATTTTACAAATCTGTGGATCATTCCTGTTTTAGTAGAATAAAATTCCTGGCACCTCTTTCTTGAGGGCCCACATTGTTTTTTATTTCTGCCCAATCCTTTTTTAAAGAAATTCCTGCTAGTATAACTATAGTGTCAAAAAGTATAAGAATTTAGGATCCTGACACATTTCTGGCAACATCTGTTGCCCAGCATTTAACGAGTGTCTGAGCACAGCCTCTTGTCCCTAGAAACTTCTGTTGTATTAACAGCCAGGGCTCACCAATCCTTTAAAATTTCCTTGGGCTTTATCTTCTTGCTATTACTGATCCAGGGCCACATAGTCTCTGCCTTCCGCACCAGTTCTGTACTGCTTTTCTCCAGCTAAAGCAGCCCTTGACTGCAGTGAAATGGCCCCGTGTTTTATCTCTTGTGTACACTCTAGGTCTTCTTTTGTCTGGGTCTCTATGTTTCCGTCTGGTATGTCTCTCATTTGTCCCTTCTACTTTCCTGTGTTCTTCCCACCTCCAGCACATTTTCTTTGCTCTGTTCCAGTGACTTCTCTTGATTTTCCACAGCAGTTGCTCCATGGTGGTGACCAGTAAACACCTAGAACTACCCTAGCAGTAAGCTTGCATTGAGTACATAGTCTGTCTAGATCCTCATTTCATCATTGGGGACATCAGGGACTAATATCAGATTCAAAGTCCTTCCTGGTTTAAAAATGAAAAAGTTTTTTTTTTGTTTGTTTGTTTTGTTTTAGATTTTTAATAAGGACTTAAAAAGGTTTTTTGGAAAATGAAAGGAAAGGTAGGTTAGTTATTGACATGATACTGTATCATTCGAAGTGTTTCTGAGAACAATTAGTAAATACTCAATGGAAGAAGCTACATAATGATTACAGAAATTAAAAAGCATAATCAAAAAGATAAAGAAGACATTGGAATATGGATTAAGAGTTAATATCATAACGCAGGCAGTGCTTCCTGGTTCAGCGTGGAGGATGAGGTCAGACAGTGTTGTGAATAAGTGAGGTGGGCCCTGTGGTAGAACTGAGCGGGGCTGTGTTGGCCTTGAGCGTGGATATCCCCTTTGAGGATACAGAGCTCCCCAGTACCACTGATTTCCATGTTTGCATGCAGAGTCTTGGGCCTGGTATTTTCAGGTTGGATGAAGAGAAACTAGAAACTTAATGTGAAATCTCATTTATAAAAACTTTACTCTTTTTTTTAACACCATGTGGACCAAAAATCATGTCTGAGAACTAGATTTGGCCCTCAGCTCACCAGTTTGTTATTTGTCTTACACAGTGAGAGAAGATGACCAAGATCCCAAAGGGAAATGAGCAAGGAACATAAATATATCAGTGCCCCCCAAGTAACACAGCTATGACGTACAAAGTCTCACTGGTACTGTGGGAAAACTGTTTGCCATTTATGGCAAATAGTAATTGAAACATAGGCTCTTTACAAGGAATACTTGTAAAATTTTTGGAACTTTAAAAATACATTAGGTTTTTCTGTTACTTTAGATATTATACTTGGGTACATTTCTTTATGCCTGTATAACCAATGTTATTTGCTCCAGGTTTTATTTTAGTTTTCATGGTTAAGTTTTGATTAATTACCTTGGTCTCAGGATGGTTGAAAATAGGCAATACAGATTAATTGTCCTTTGCTCACAATGAAAGAGTTTCAGATTTCCAAGTTTTTCAGAATTTTGGATTTTCAGATTTAAGATGTTCAACTTTTATTCTTTCTGCTCTTTAAATACTTGCCATACTTTTAATTTATTGCGTGATAGCTCCTGGAAAGTAGAGTGATGCTTAACTACTTTTTCCCCCCTTTCTGATTGGGAAAAGAAATTCATCTTTAAGAGATTTCTGACATTAGTGTTACATCTTATATTTTCTTTTCAACAGCGTCTGTAAGTAGCGGCAGCGGCAGCAGCCCACTGGCAGTTGTGACTGTGAAGTCCCCAAATCAGAATCTCCGCCTTGGCTTATCCAGATTA